GCCCACTTTGCTACACTCTAATTTCAAACAGAATAAAGCTAATTTCTCTTCCTATCATGTGCCAAGTCCCCTTTTTTTCCAGCCAACCACTTTCAGATCCCTCAACCAACCCATACCAAGGCATGAACTCAAGTCTTTTCACCACCCACTTGCCTCCCAAAGGTCACAGGTCAGCTGATCAATGCCCACCCTAAAATATGGTATATAGATATGGAGGAGACTAGAGTTAGAGACAAGGTGGTGTTCGAGTTGTCAAAGAATAGGACAATGAGGGTATGGTGTGCATGGACCCAAGCAGGAATACAAGAAACAAAATAAAAAGAAAAATCAAAAGGACTTGGTAACTAATTCAGCATAAAGACGGTTTCTAGCCTGAAAAATACCAATCCTATTGCTAAAAATAAGGTAGGGAGACTTATTCAAGAAAATAAATTTGTTTTGACGAAATACTGTTTGGAATGAAAGACAAGTCATCCAAGTAGACATTTCCTCTAAATAGACACAAATGTAAAACTGAAGTCCTTAGAAGTGGGGTCAGGACTAAACTGAATTTTTATTCTTCCAGATATTCCCCAATGTTCTTTCCCTTTCCAGACTCCAGTCAATCTATCTTATCATATTTTCACATTACATACCTCAAATTACTTCTGTCTTAATCTTACCCTCCCCTACCAGACAGTAAACTCCATGAGAACAGGAACTTTGTCATATTCTTTATGACTACCACAGCGCTCAAGTCTCAACTCTATTATTTTAATCTGTATCTCCTTCCTGGTATTGCCCACTTTTGTGGACAATAACTTCACTCACTACCCATTTAACTCAAAGGCAGGGGTATATGGAGCATTCAGGGAGGACTAGCACCTCTGGCAGAGGACTTGCTGAGCCCTTTTCAGGGCTGTCCATCCACCTTTAGTGTCCACCTGATTCAACAACTCTCACCTGTGGCTCCAAGAAGCTGTAGCAAGCCCAGCAACCACACCCCAGTAACGCTGTCTTGGCAGACTGCTAAACCAGGTTGAGGTAACCGATAGGCCTCAAACCTGTTGGTAACTTATGGGGATGTCTACTCTAAGTATGAGAAGACATCCGTTGGCAGAATGGGGGAGAACAATTTGTTCCAATGGCCATGAAGGCAGCTGGAGCAGGCACTGTGGATCCCTTAAAGCTTGGTCAGGCATCAAAGATGCCAAGGTCATTCACTGAATCCCTGGCCATTGTCAGTAGTCTTGACTTTTATCCTGCCACTGGACTTTGATGACTCCAGAGGAGAGAGTAAGGCTGATGACTTTATGCAACTCTGATTCACTTAAATCCAATTCATTTGTTAAGTCAAGACAATCACCCATGCCATTACTGATCCTCTTCAAAAAATGGAAGGATAAACAACTCAAATGTGAGTTCCTTTGTAACCTATCCACCACCCCCTCAACCTTCAAATTCAAGTTGATTCAATCAAAGCCCTTGCATACTATACTCAGTACTCCCACTTCCCAAAGAGGAAGTAATGGGAAGGTGACTCTTAACCCATCTCCTCATTAAAATGTCTACCAATACAAACTTTTGCCTTTGCCAGGAAAGGTTCAAATGATGTACTCTCAGGCCAATAAGAAGACACATTTGGGTTTAAAAGACCCTGTTGGCCTTCACTCTGAATCTCTGGTCATTGAGAAAGGCCATTGACCTATGTATTGGTTACTGCTAGCCCAACTAATAAACTGATCATGTTTGGAATCTTGTCTCTCAGTTTACCTTAGTTTTCAAAGGTAATAATTGTCTACCCATAAAGGGACAGGAGCAGGGAGACCAGTACCTGAAACAACCCTCTAGGGAAAATCCCCAAGAGCTCACTTGTGGAATTAGCCACCAAGGGCTTTTTCCATTTAGTAATACAGACAGGGACCTGACTCTCCCTCCAAACTCCAACTCAGATCCTATGAGGGGCTGAGAAAGCCATGTTTTCCCTAGTCTGAGGGGAAATGACCAAATCATAGAGCAAATTAAATCCCACTATTGCCCTGAAAGGGAATTTTTTGGTAGCTCCGTTACTAGCGTTTCATATTGTTACATCTGTTTGTATAAATCAAGCTGTTTTCTTCCCATGACCTAATCAACCTGGGGAGTTTTATCTATGTGAAGAATTCAGAGCAATAATCTCTCTGCCTCCTGAATCTGACCAAGTTAGAAAGCAGACAAAAACCACAGACAGGATTCTAAATCTGCAGGGAATTTATGGCATCATAAACTAGTCAAAGACTAAAATGTAATTTCTCTATTGTGAATTTCCAAATTGTGGTTTGAATGCTTTTATAAATGCTAAAATATCTGAATGAGTTTCAGGGCAGCATTCTGTAGAACACGTTTCAAGGAAAATGTAACAGTTACTAGAGTAGGATGCAACTATGTAAGATCTTGCTCTTCTCAATCTGAAATTATAGTTATTTTCACATCCTAAACAATTAAATTGGTTTGTCATCTTCCTTTCACAATAGTTATATATTCATGTTCATGTATAAGGTTAGGTCCCTGAAGTATCTCATTCTTTTAGAATGAGATGGGGTTTATGTAATCCTAAGGGAAGAATTTGACATAGCTGTAAAGGTTTTTCTGCTTTAAAATTTTTTTTAAATTAAAAGCAGTAGTAAACAGGATTACACTGTTTTCTCTTAGAACGTACGTGTGTGTGTGTGTGTGTGTGTGTGTGTGTGTGTGTGTGTGTACCTATATTTGGCTTCCAAATGTTTATAATGGGAAATTCAGGCTTTGAGTATGTTTTAGTAATGAGCTCTCAGAATTAAATGAAAAATTGGCATATAAAATTGATGACTGTCAAGAAAGCAAAATTCTTTTCCTATTAATAAAAGAAACAGAAAGACTCATTTTCACAAGTCAGGCCTTCATGGATTTCTTTTTTAAGATTTTTCCTTCAGCCTATTGTTGGCAGGTACAGGGTTCAGATAAAGACAGGAACTGCAAGGGGTATGTGAAAGCTTAGATTCTCTGAATTTTGGGGTGAATTATGGGTTCCTGATGTTTGAGCCAGTTATTGGAAAACTAAATTTAGGAGGGTATACTAAATTGTATTGATCTGTTTTGCCAAAGATTATAGCAGAAACACATACCAATCTCTGCAGGTAACCTGAACCAGAGAAGCAGGTCTTATAGAAGCTCCCTTCAGAGCAGCTTTGAGAACAAGCACGTTCCAAAATGCCCAAGGGATGTTTTCAGAAACCAAACAACTGTATAAGGCATCTGAGCCCTAATAAGATAATGATGTGCCGATGAAATGGACATTGGGAATAAGTTACTTGGAAAGAGAATGAATGTTCATCCCTCCCTCTCATTCCTTCTCCACGCACTACTGTTTCTGTAAGGCCTACTTACCAAAGGGGACTGGCCCCAATGAAATTCCTCAATGCCTTAGTCACAGGTGGTCTCAAAGATCAAGGGATTAATGGTTATAAGATTAAGCTTGATGATTTTGGAACTATCCCTGCTTGTTAGCCCTATTAAAATAGAATATCTGGGATAAAATGTCTTTAGTCCCTATTCTGTCTTGTAACTACCTCCTCTCTCCTTTATTCAGGTAGCCTCCAATCATTTGAGTCAGTTCTATTATTTTAATTTTTAATTTAAAAAAAATTTTTTTAGGCAGTTGGGGTTAAGCGACTTGCCCAGCTAGTAAGGATGAAGTGTTTGGTCTGAGGCCAAATTTGAACTCAGGTCCTCCTGACTCCAGGGCCATTGCTATCTACTTCACCACCTAGCTGCCCCTCAATCCTATTATTTTAATTTGTATCCTGCACAGTGGATAAAGTACCAGCCCTGGAGTCAGGAGGACCTGATGACCACGACACTTGCTAGCTGTGTGACCCTGGCCAAGTCATTTAACCCCAATTGCCTCCCCAAAAAAACAAAAAAATTTGTATCCTGACACTACCATTGTCCACCTTTATAACTTTACTCACCTCTCATTTAACCCAAATTCAAGTTGATACAATCAACTTGGGGGATTACTATGGGAGGGAGTCTAGATGCAGGGAGAGCAATCAGAAAGCTATAGTTCATGCCAAGCTATAAACATTTATTAAATGCTTACTACACTTTGCTCAACTCTGGAAGCAAAAAGAAAGGCAAAAATTTGCATCAAGTGCTCCATAAATATTTGTTGATTTCTTTATTCTTACCTTTGCACACGAGTCCTAATGCCTAGAATGCTCTCTTGCCTTCACCATCATCTCTTAGAATTCCTAGCTTACCTGCACGGCTCAGCTCAAAAACCACCCTCTACAAGAAGTTCCAATTAGTGTTTACTTATTTATGGTAAATGTATGTTGTATCCCCAGTGGAATGTAAACTTCTTGAGGGCAGGCCCTGCTTTTTCATTTTGTGTTTGTGCCCCAGCGACTTACACATATTAGGTCCTTAACAAATGTTTCTAGAATGAACTGAACAGTGTGAGTGGAAGCTACTTAAATCAAGTTTTGATTGGGGGAAGAACACAGCAAGGGCTCAGGTCACTAAATCCGTCAATGGGAGTCAAGGTCGGCTTGGGAGGAAAGTAGAGGAAGCTGTACAAAGTTTTAACTTCACATTTTGTTGAAGGGAGAATAGGAAAGGAAAGGTGAGGAAGGGGTGGGGGAGAGAGATAAATCACCACCAGCTCTTAGAGCAAGGGCTCCGGAGGCCGACAGGTTTCCAGCCTCCCTGGGTGACGAAGTTGAGGCTTTGGGAGGGAGAGTGGTCCCCTGAGCATACACACTAGGGCTACCTGCGATCAGAAACCCTGACGAGCCGGTCCGACAGCTCCCCGCATCTGGGGCTCAGCCAGAGCGCTCCGTGCCTCTCCAAGGGCTCACAGCCCACGCCTCAGTGCCCTCTGCACCCCTGCACATATGGGACCCCGCACCCGTGCACCCCCCGCCCCAGCACGCCGGCAACTCCGCATCTACACACTCTGGGCCGGGGTACACGCCTCCCACCCTGGCTCCGCCCCGTACCTGGTCAAAATCCACATTCCCGAATCCTCCGCAGCAGTCATACCCGGCTAACTGGCCCAGCATGGTCCCGCCTCGGGTCTTTCCCGAGCTTCCCCTCCCTTCCCCCCCCCGCCTTCTCGTTCACCCGGTCACCCCACGGCCCCAAGGCCGCCGCCACCCTGGGTCCGGGGGGTCAAGAGGCTTTCCGACCTTCGCTCGCCCCTAAATTTCTTAATCCATCCTTCCTGGCACTTCCCAGGTTAACCCCCGCCGCCCGGCATCCCGTTTCACACGCTTCGCATAGAGCCTTCTGGGAAATGTAGTCCGCTCCCTCCCCATCCTCCTCGGCCTTCCACGAGCCCCGGAGCCATCCTGGAGGAGATGGAACTACGAGTCCCAGGAAGTTTGGAGGCTCTTGCCCACTCTCTTATAGAGAACTTCAAAGGTGCGTCTCAGGTGCCCGAGAGCCACCACGTGTCCTTCTCTCCCGGGCCGGCTGGGCTGGTTCTGGGTCCGGTTGCCGGGGCTCATCAACTCCCAGCCCACCCGCTCTCTCCACGCCCAAGAGAAGCCCTTCTGGCCAGAGACCTTTCTTATCCTACCTGGGGTTACTGACCTGTCGTCCCTCTCCTCTGCTGGTGATGGGATTGGAAGGTTTGGATTGGGGGGGAGTAGATATAAATAACTTCCCCTGCGGGAATCCAGGAGGTGGACTTTGTCCTGGAAAGACCCCCCTCCCCCAGCCTCTACATCTCCTCCCCCCCTCCCCTCCAGCAAGTGCTTGGCCTGGGGCAGTGCACGCCTAGTACAAACTGTCCTAGTTAGACCCAAAACTGATGACACGCACCCTCGGCATCAAGAAGCTTGCTTCTCCGCCTACCCACCTCCAGCTCGGCCTTAGACTCATCCAGGGTCTTCCCCTTCACTCTGGGACACCTAGAGCCAAACTCGCAGGGTGTGCCATTCCCACCCCCACCCCTCAGTCCTTCTGAAGTAATGCCAGAATCTCCGGGGGTGACCGTCGATCAATTTCTTTGGGCTAGTAGAAGGCAGCAAAGGCATTTAGAAAACACTTTATTTCACACAGTCTTTCGAAGTGGGTTGCTGGAGCGATTGAATGCATGGAGGCAGACTAAGAAAGGCTTCTTGGAGAGGAGAGTTTGAAAGGAGAGGAGGAAACTAACAGAGGAATTGCAAGAGAAAAAGGTTGAGAAAGACTGGTTCGGGAGGTGGGAGATCTTACCTGGACTGTGATACTGCTAGGACTGTCCTGTCCGTAGCTCTGCGTGGCCTTTCACTTCCTCCTTCTTGTCAGGAGAAAATAAGTTGCTTGAGTGCAGGGACTTTTCGTTTAGGTCTTGGAATCCTTATGACCTAGAGAAGTGCCTGGCACATTGTAGGTGCAAATTGAATTGAATTGTTGAATTCTGGAATAGGACTCCCCCTCCAACTAGTCCCTGAGCTCCTTGAAACCTGTGGCCTTTATTATCTTAATTTTTTTTGTCTCCCGTACTGGTCCTAGAACTCGCTGATTACAAAGTAATCCGTTTGATAAAGACTTAATTAATTGATCAATTGTTTGCCCTCCTTCCTTATCTCTTCCTCCTGGCCAGTTCCCATTTCAAACACCAAGGAAAGGCACTGGTTGTAGAGATGGTTTTTCTGATCCTACACAGGACTGTTTGCAGTTCTGTAGCAGGTGGACAAATAAATTTGTTACCTGACAGACTATATGCTATAGGTAAAGTCCTGGAAGCTTCAAGACTTCTTTCTCAGTCATTGCCCATTGTCAATCATTGAATATGACATTGAACATCAGAGTAATGTCAGCCTGACTTGATTCCCTTGAAGAGAAGGGAGAGGAGGGAAAAATAACCACTGTTTAGGAAATATCCTATGATTCTTAGGCATTGCTACCAATCATACTTCCCAATAGGCAGAGACCTGGGAGGCAAAACAAAGGTTTATTATATACGCTTCAGCAAAGGCCCAGAATTTTCAAATAATTCTGGATCCCCAAACAGAGAGTTCTTAAAGTTTGTATAGTCTCCAATTAAACAGATGAAGAAAAATAATACAATTTTTGGATTATAGATGTGGAAATTTACAACTACTGACTTGCATTACAAAGATATGTTTGTGAGGTTTACATTTCAAAGAAAGCAGATGAATAAAATCATATCCCATCTAGTTTACAAAAAATCTTTTTACAATCACCATGCATATCACAAATTCTTTTACTAGTTAAAGTCTCTTATACTCTTATCGCAATCAAAATAATTGGAAATCAAGAAAATCTCAGCAGCTAAGTGACTTTTCTCAGAATTAAAGTCCTGCTGGGGGCAATTCGTGATGGAGAAAAAGAAATAAAAAAACTTATAACACCCCTATATCCTAATGTGTCCATATCATTGGAGGCCTGTGGTCACTCTTTACCTAACTTTCCTCTCCCAAAGTCCCAACCCTTGCCCCTCATTCCCCAAGGTCTGAGCAAAGTTTTTCTTTTGAGTTTGATTTTTATCTCCAAACAGGGAAAGGTCAACATTAGAGATCAAACTGTAACTGATGGAACCAGGTGGATCCACACTCCTCCCACCCACCCACTCTTTCCCTTTGTTAAAATTTCTATCATTCTTCCTCAGAAATTTAGTGTATAAATTGGATTGTGATCCAAGTCATTCAAGTGAAAAAGTCTTCTTAGATCACTGCCCAGCAGGAACCTTTGTTTTTATCATAAAAACATTGAATCTTAGACTTGTACTTGACCTGAGAGCTTCCTTAGTCCAACCAGTCCAGTACAGAAACCCTGTTGGAGAGCCCAATTGACCGGATCATTTAGCCTCTGCCTAAAGCTTCCAGACTCAGAGCTCCCTACCTCACAAAGCAGCCCTTTGGGTTGCTAAACAAATGTGTTTTGTTTTGTTTTTTTTCCTTCAGCCAGAGGAAAAGTTTTATTAGTGATAAAACACATAGGCCAGGTGACACCCATAAGGATGAGTGGGCATGAGAAAGTCTCAGCATTTTGGGCATGAGATTCTCAGCCCAGAATGAGGGCCAGGGTAGATCTTATTTACTAAAGTGACTTTGGGTGACCAGGGGAGGTCTGGGAAAAGGATGTGGGTGAGAATTCTGATTGGAAGGTCTGAGAGATTGAATAGACAATGGGAATAGATGATGAGATCAAAAAGGTGGGGCTAGGGCTTTCAAAGGGAGATAAGGGGCTGGGGCCTGTAGACAAATAGGAATCAAATTCCCTTTGGGGCTTGGGCCACACCCCATCATTCCCCCCTCAAACCAATTGGAACCAAATTCTTTTGGTGAAAAGGGGCGAAGGTCTCAGCTTCTGAAACTGCTTCCTGCTGGCAAGGGGCATAGAGCTGTCCCTGCCTCTCTGGGTCCCATTAGAGGGGTCAAATGTCAGAACCTGGCTGATGCCAGGTTCAGCAGGCTAGAATCCTCAGGTTGGTATACAGCCTGAGCAGTCATTTGGAAGTTAATGGCTCCAACCCTGGATTCTTTCAATTTTGTTTTGCCCTCTGGTTCTAAAATATCAAGACAGTTTTTCTTGATAATTTCTTGAAAGATGATGTCTATGCTCTTTTTTTGATCATGGATTTCAGATAGTCCAATAATTTTTAAATTCTGTCTCCTGGATCTATTTTCCAGGTCAGTTGTGTTTTTCCAATGAGATAGTTCACATTGTTTTCTAGTTGTCATTCTTTTGGATTTATTCTACTGTGTTGTGATTTCTCATAAAGTTGCTATCTTCCAATTGCTCTATTCTAATTTTTAAGGAAGTATTTTCTTCAGTAATCTTTTGGACTTCCTTTTCCATTTGGCCAATTTTTCTTTTTAGGGCATTCTTCTCCTCATTGGCTTTTTGGACCTCTTTTGCCATTTGGGTTAGGCTAATATTTAAGGTGTTATTTTCTTCAGTATTTTTTGGGGTCTCCTTTAGCAAGCTGTTGACTTGTTTTTTCATGATTTTCTTGCATCACTTTCATTTCTCTTCCCAGTTTTTCCTCTACGTCTCTTACTTGCTTCTCAAAATCCCTTTTGAGCTCTTCCAAGGCCTGAGACTGATTCATATTTTTCTTGGAGGCTTTGGATGTAGGAGCTTTGACTTCTGGTTGTATATTTTGATTTCCTTTGTCATCAAAGTAAGATAATATAGTCTGACTCTTTTTGCGCTACTTACTCATGATCCTGGCCAATTACTTGAGTTTTAAACTCTTTGTTAAGGTGAGTGACTGTTTCCAATGTGGAGAATGTACTGTCCCAAGCTCCAGGGGTTTGTACAGCTGTTGTCAGAGATACTTGTAGGGACCTGTAAATTTTCAGTTCTTCCAAGGTGGTATGATAAGAGTCGAGGTGTTTACTCTTTTCCTGGCCTGAGCTCTGGTCTTTGAGTGACTGGCCACAAGCAGTCTTTTCTCTCTTAGAACTGTGAGGAGGGTTTCCTCACCACAGCCACTACGAGCTCTACCCCACCAGAGTTCCTCCTCACCCCAGAACCGCCACCCAGAACTGTGACCCAGATCCAAGCACGGGCAAAGCAAGAGATTCCTGTCTCAGCACTGGCAAAGAGATCCCTGCAGTCCCCCTCTGATCAGCCACTTGATTCCCCCTCAGTCTGTGGGCCTGAAACTCAGGACACAGCCAGCGTCCCAGCACCCGGCTCTGCACTCTGTGCTCTGAAACTGGCTCTGACCTAGCTCTTCTCTCACCGCAAAAACAGACTTTTCCCACTGACCTTCTAAGTTGCCTTTGGAGTTCGTGGATTGAGGAGTCTGGAAGCCACCACAGCTGCCCGTGATTCAGTCCTCTGAGGCCTGCTCTAGGTTGGCTGTGGCCTGCAAGCCCACCCACAGTGCGCTCCACTCCCAGCCCTGAGAGATATACCTTTCTGATCAACCATCCAGGCTGTCTTGGGCTGGAAATTTGTTTTATTCTGTCTTTTTGTGGGTTCTGCTGCTTTCGGCTTCAACCCTGGAAGAAAGGAATCTGGCAAGAATATTTATTAAACATGGACCAAACAAACACAAGAGAAATATGATCAGTAGTGGAATGAGAATAGGAAATAGTATAGAAAGAAGCCAGGACTCCTATGAGTCCCACTAAAGTAATT